ATGGGTGGTCAGCACTCTTGAAAAAATTGAGCCATTTAGACACACAAAGTTAACTTTTTGTCTCATATATAATAAAGTTCAAAAATAATATCAAAATCACATGTGACCTAACTTCACAGAGGGACATGATTTAATTCTTGTCTAATTCAAGAAAGTGTATGTTATATGCATCTTGTGATCTGGCATTAGCATTCTATTTATGAAAATGCCAGCACGAAAGTAAAACTTTAAACAGAAATATGCAAGTCAAATTGCTAAATGCAGACTGATTAGATCTGAAAATGTAAGGAAAAGTAAAGGCACATTCTGTTTTTATTTATGAACACAAACATTTGCAGAAGATAGTACAAATAATAAACATAAAACCAAGATCATGCAAATATCACAGTTATTAAAATAAGGACAATATCGTTTTCAAATGCCATGTGATAGGTAGTTGTGAACCATCTTAAAAGAGTTTGTAAGGTTTAAAGGAGAATATGCCTCTTTAAGTAATGACAGCTGCACTTTAGAATATATATATAGATATAGATATATAGACACACAACAGGGTACATCTAGACTACATGCCTCTGACGACAGAGGCATGTAGATTAGACTACCCGGCATAGGAAAATGAAGCAGCGATTTAAATAATCGCCGCTTCATTTAAATTTACAGGGCTGCTGCGCTGAGCCGATCAGCTGTTTGTCGGCTCAGCGCGGTAGTCTGGACATTCCGCGGTCGACATCAAAGGTATTTGTCGACCTCCCAGGTATGCCTCCTGCAGGCTGCCATCCGGGAGGTCCATCGGGGGCTGTCAGTATCCAGGAGGTCCTGCGGGAGAGCTTCCACCCTGAGGAGCGCTAAGAGTCTCCCTGGTGTGCCCCACTGGGAGCTTGTGCCTTATTCCTCTCTCATGTCCTTCCACTTACCCTTCCCTAACCCACCTTCCTGATGTCAAATAAAATACACGTATTTTCATGAACACTAACTTTCTTTATTTAACAAAACTGGGGGGAGGGGGAATGAAACTCTGGTGAGACTGGGGAAAGGAGGCGGGAGAGGGGAGGGGCAAACCTGGGAGGAGGGAGCTGGAAGGGGGAAGCAAGAGGAAGAAGGGGGAGGGGAAGCTCAGGGCTCGGGGTTGGGAGTCTTGCCGGACCAACTTGATTGTCATGCAAACCTGCTCCTGGGTTTGCATGTGGCCAGGCTGGCAGCTATCCTGCCATAGACGGCTATGTTCCTCTGCCTACTGCGGAGATCATTGATGTTGGGGGAATCACCCCCAAATCTGAATAAGGTCCATGATCTCCACCCTGGACCAGGAAGGTGCCTGCCTTCTCCGGGCCCTGGCAGGCTCCTGGGAGCTGGCAGACTGCTCCTGGGGAGTGGTGGAGGGCTGGCTGCCAGTGGCTTGGGGCCACTGGGTCAGGAACAGTAACTGCTGGCTCTGGGCTGGCAGGCTTGGAGCTGGCACAGGCACTGTGGCCAGAGTCAACCCCTTTAAGGGCTCTGGGGAGGAGGGCGGGAGAGGAGTGTTCTTGGTTGAGGCTGGAGTGGCCACCAGGGCACCCTAGGAAGGCTGGAGGCCCCCTATTTCGATATGAGCACTTATTTCGAAATATCTATTTTGAATTTGACGTTATTCCTCGTGGAATGAGGTTTACCAAATTCGAAATAAGCGCTCTGCTATTTCAAATTAATTTTGAAATAGCGGTTTGTAGATGCTAGTAAAATTATTTTGAAATAATGGCTGTTATTTCAAAATAACTTTGCTGTGTAAACATACCCTAAGGCACTTGAGGTCCCAGAAATACACAGGTTATTTAAGTGTTACTAGAGCCTGGCTAATGTTTCGTATTTACCTTGATTTTTTGTTTATGCAGTTGGTGTAATATAAGTTAACCTCTAGTGAATAGCTGCAGGCTGCTGTACCACCAAAAAAATCAAGCAGTTTCAACTGGGAAAGAACAAAATTAATGCTGAAGATGTTAAAACAAATATTTGATGATTGATGAGGAAATAATCCCAGACTAATCCTGGGAATTCCTCCTCAAGATATATTTTATTTTTACAGGGTTTATAAAAGGCACATAAGATCAGAAGCCCACTTTTTATTCGCCATGCAGATAAGTACATATTTTTACATGTGCATTTCAGGGTATTTGTGTTGTATCTCGGGAGTTTAAAATTGTTATCCATAAAGCCCCCACACACACAGTGCTTGAGACTTTGGATGTGCGTGTGAGAAAATTTGTTAATCCAATAGTCCTATGCGCTCAACCTGCGATTGCGTGTCTTACTGTGTGTGTCTGTGTGGGTGGGTGGCAGGGCTAAAAACTGTTACACAAATGTTCTCTGTCCACCCTACCACACTGCCTGGCTTTGGAGGAGAGGGTAAAAGTTCTTACCACAATAGACCCCATCCTACTTGTTGAGATTGGGGTGGTGGTTAAATAGAAATTTTACTGCTTTGGTAGGAACATGAGTAAGAACTCCATCTTTATTTGACACTAATGGCTGTGTTAGAAAGAAGGACATTTCCAGAGAGGCCCTGGATGACTTGTTTTCACTTTCAGACCAAGAAGTTGAATCTACATTTGAGAAGTAACCAAGTTCCTCGCATAGAATATAAGAGGGAGCTCACCTGTTGCCCAGTTCAGAAGTGCAATAATATTAGCTTTGTTTACTCTCACTGTTGTCATTAAAATTTCTCCTGGCTGAAGCTAGACTGGTTTGCTTTCAGGAAAGCAGTGTGGCAGATATGGGTGTAGGCAGACATGTCATGTCAGCAAAACATACAAGTCATATGCTTTGGGGGGGAATGTAATGTATTTTGTTTTACATTGACTGGGATGTTCTCCAGGCCTTTAATTAACACCTTATAATGTATTTATCTAATACATTATAATTAGATAATACTAATTATAATACTGGGAGATCATTGGAGATATTGCAGGAAGGGTTCAACAAAGAAACAAGGATGCAATATCAGTGAGAATGTCCAGTACTTATACTTTTGGTTGCTAAAAATTACTACAAATTCCTGAATTTCAAAGATTGCCAATAAGAGTTCTTGTGCCTAGATGTCACCAAAATACAGAAAGACAAAGGTGAATAAGATCAGAACCTAAAATGAACTGTAGAGACAGCCACAGAAGGTTCTTCAAGAAATGAGGGTTGTTGGCTTTCCCCTTTTTTCGTTTTGTTTCTGTTTCTTTTGTTTTTTTATGGTACATGGCTTTTTTGGTCCAGTTTGTTATAGAGACATAACTTGTTTGTAAAGCTAGAGCATTTTTCCTCTGAGTATCTTCTAGGCACCTACTCTCATGCCAGCTGGAACCAGAGGTACAAGGGGTAGGGGGGTGTGCTCCCAGCTTGAAGTGATTTCCATTATGTGCAGGGTATACAGTTTGGTTGAATGGCTCTCAGGACCCCCACTGTAAAATTTGTTTCAGCACCCCTGCCCACTCTTGCCCCCATCTCAGTCAGTGTATGTCTACACTACAGAGTTTTGTCGGGAAAACGGCTGTTTTTCCGACAAAACTTGAGTAACATCCACACTGCAATTGCGTTCTTTCGAAAGTAAATCAAAAGAAGAAAAGTTTTTTTCTAACCTTGGTAATCCTCATTCTATGAGGAAGAAGCCTTTTTCCGAAAGAGCTCTTTTGGAAAAAAGCGTGTGTGGATGGGGTAGAGGGAGGTCTTTTGGAGGAAGAGGAAAATGCACAGGTGCCCTGGTGGCCACTCCTCCCATAGTAATCACAGCTTAACTGTGAGATAGTGTCTATTAAGTGGGGATGCTATCTTTTGAAAAAGCAGGTAGCTTTTTCCATGTGCTTTTGCTGTGTAGATGCTCTATTTCAGAAGTTTTTTCAGAAGATCTCTGCCTGCAGTCTAGACATAGCCTCAGTGTCTGTTGGGGGAAGAGGGAAGAGGTGGGTGGGGTTCTGGTGGTAACAGGTTTCCCCCAAATCCCAGGCAGTGTGTGTGTGTGTGTGTGTGTGTGAGTGTGTGTGTGGGCGGGGCTATGGCGGTAACACGTTTTCCCCAATCCCAGCCAGTAGGAGGAGGCTATTGGAATAATTGGTTTACCAGCCCCCCCCCCCCGGCCGGGGGGGACGCTCCTGGGGAAA